GGAGTTGAGGGAATATCCTCCGCAAACTGCTTTTGTACCTAGAAGTTGCGAATTTCGAGCCGGAGCTGCGGCTTTTGAACTTAAAAATTGCGATTTTGCAGCCGGAGCTCCGGAGTGCTCTTCGCGTACTACTTTTGTACTTAAAAAGCGGGATTTTACAGCCGGAGCTGCGGGAACGCTCTTCCCGCACTACTTTTTGCACCTGGAAGTTGCGAACTTCGAGCCGCACGTGGCACATGCGGGGCTTTGCGCGCCAGCTTTGTACGTAAACGTTGCCTGCGCAGCCGGAGATGCGGGAGAGCACGTCGCACCTCGCACGGGGCCACAGCGAGAGCGCTTCGACACGCACGATCTCCGCAAACGATTTTCCGAACTCAAGACACACTCGCACGGCGCCACAGCGAGAGCGCTTCGACACGCACGATCTCCGCAGAGGGTTCGCCGAGCCCAAGACACATTCGCACGGCGCCACAGCGAGAGCGCTTCGACACGCACGATCTCCGCAGAGGGTTCGCCGAGCTCAGGCCAAATTCGCACGGCGCCACAGCAAGAGCGTTTACGATCTCCGCAGAGGGTTCGCCGAGCTCAAGACAAATTCGCACGGCGCCACAGCGAGAGCGCTTCGACACGCACGATCTCCGCAGAGGGTTCGCCGAGCTCAAGCCAAATTCGCACGGCGCCACAGCGAGAGCGAGACAAATTCGCACGGCGCCACAGCGAGAGCGCTTCGACACGCACGATCTCCGCAGAGGGTTCGCCGAGTGCAAGACACATTCGTGCGGCGCCACAGCGAGAGCGCTTCGACACGCAGGATCTCCGCAGAGCGTTCGCCGAGCTCGAGACACATTCGCACCGCGCCACAGCGAGAGTCGCCGAGCTCAAGACAAATTCGCATGGCGCCACAGCGAGAGCGCTTCGACACGCACGATCTCCCCAGAGGGTTTGCCGAGCTCAAGCCAAATTCGCACGGCGCCACAGCGAGAGCGCTTCGACACGCACGATCTCCGCAGAGGGCTCGCCGAGCTCAAGACAAATTCGCACGGTGCCACAGCGAGAGCGCTTCGACACGCACGATCTCCGCAGAGGGTTCGCCGAGTGCAAGACACATTCGCGCGGCGCCACAGCGAGAGCGCTTCGACACGCACGATCTCCGCAAAGGGTTCGCCGAGCTCGAGAGACATTCGCACCGCGCCACAGCGAGAGTCGCCGAGCTGAAGACACATTCGCACGGCGCCACAGCGAGAGCGCTTCGACGCGCACAATCTCCGCAGATTGTTCGCCGAGCTCAAGACAAATTTGCACGGCGCCACAGCGAGAGCGCTTCGACACGCACGATCTCCGCAGAGGGTTCGCCGAGTGCAAGACACATTCGCGCGGCGCCACGATCTCCGCAGAGGGTTCGCCGAGCTCGAGACACATTCGCACCGCGCCACAGCGAGAGTCGCCGAGCCCAAGACAAATTCGCACGGCGCCACAGCGAGAGCGCTTCGAAACGCACGATCTCCGCAGAGGGCTCGCCGAGCTCAAGCCAAATTCGCACGGCGCCACAGCGAGAGCGCTTCGACACGCACGATCTCCGCAGAGGGTTCGCCGAGTGCAAGACACATTCGCGCGGCGCCACAGCGAGAGCGCTTCGACGCGCACGATCTCCGCAGAGGGTTCGCCGAGCTCGAGACACATTCGCACCGCGCCGCAGCGAGAGTCGCCGAGCTGAAGACACATTCGCACGGCGCCACAGCGAGAGCGCTTCGACACGCACAATCTCCGCAGAGGGTTCGCCGAGCTCAAGACAAATTCGCACGGCGCCACAGCGAGAGCGCTTCGACTCGCACAATCTCCGCAGAGGGTTCGCCGAGCTCAAGACAAGTTCGCACGGCGCCACAGCGAGAGCGCTTCGACACGCACGATCTCCGCAAAGGGTTCACTTTCGTCTTGCAACGCTTGCAAATGAGCGAAACGCTGCGCCTGCCACGAAATTCCCAGACCCTGTTTCCGAAAATGCTGCGCCTGCCACGCATCATTTGCATCAGCGCAAAACGTGCTGCGCCCACCACGAAAAATGCACGGCAGTCTCACAGAATGCTGCGCTGGCCATGGAATTCTGCGGCAACACGCAAATCCGAAGATCGGCGCGGCGCCACAGCGAGAGCGCAGTTTTGAAGAAAGGTCCGTTTCGTGCGAAGCTGTCGCACGCGAGACAACTTTTTGCGACAGCTGCCATGGCTTTAGAGCTCCGATTGTCCAAGCGTGGTAGCCTGACCCGACAAGAAGATATCAACGCGTGGCGGCCCTGCCATCAAAAAACGCACTTTGGTCTCAAAAAACGCGTTTGGCACGAGGCTTCCTGAAAAAACACACCCCGCGTCGCAGCCCGCACCTCCCAACTGTTGCCCCTGCCAGCAAAAGCCGAAAAGTGCGAACGGCACCACAACGAGACGCACGCACCGGCGCGAACCTCCATTTCGTGCGAGACTGTCGCATCGAAGACAACTTTTTACGCACAGGGCCAGCAATTTGAGCCGACACCTCGATCTACACCAGGCCTTAACTCTTACCGTAAGAACCCCTTAGTGTAAACACTATTGGGGAATAAAACCAGATGAACAAAGACTAAAAGATGAACAAAGATAAACAAAACACTATCTTTTAATATCTTCCATATCTTTTAGTAGAGTATATGTAGAAGATACAAAAACGTTTATCTTTGACTTTCACGAGTAGCTACTCTATAAGTGTACTTTTAGTCCGCCGGAACATAGCCAAACAAATCTAGTGTAAACATAGGTTAACCGCCTGATAAGCAGACGTATATCTGACATACTATCTTCTATTCCAAGCTATTTGACTGCGAGCCTTCTTAGCGGTCGTGGCCATGGCGTTGCCCAACTTTGTTTTACACAGTGACAAGGCGGCGCCCTACGCACAACCGGCGGTGAGCTATGGGCGGCTTGGATTGGCGGTTTCGAGCTTCACGGGGCTTGCGCCTCGGGGCTTGATGGCCCGATTGCACCGTTGGGCCCTGCGCCCGCTTGCAACTTCGAGCCTCGCCCTCCATCGGCTGTGCCAAGCTGGCATCGCCAAGGTTTCTATATGGCAGCACCCTAAGCAAAACCGGCTTTGAGCAATTCGGCCACCCGCTTGCGCCCCTCAGCTTTGCTCATCGCCCAGCTTTGCTTTTGAAGTGGCTTGGAGTTTGCGCCTCGGGCCCCGATCGAAGCCCGCTGCGCCGTCAGGCCTCGGTCGGGGCCTGATTGCACCATCGGGCCCCGCGCAGGGCCAGATTGCACCGTCGCCGTTCAGGCCCAGTTACGCATTCGTGAACAGTGAACATCAGCAAGGTGAAAGAAACCATTACGACCTGCTCGTCCTCGAGGATTTGGCGTGGAATCCTGCCTTGGGGAGGTCCTACGTGGAACAGGGCTTCCCTCAATATCTCTTGGAACAGAAAAGGATCGGTGTTAGACTGGGTTTTCTGATCGGCGGTCATGTAGGACCTTTGCACCTCATCGATCACAAGGTCGGCGTCCTGATCATTGTGCGCTCTTGTCCTCTGAGTCATCTGATCCATCGTCTTCCTGATCTTCATGCCGGGGGGAACCCGTGCTTCCCCAGTTTCCAATTGCGACGCCGACGCTATCCGCCGTTCCCGTTGGTTGCCCTTGCAGGCCTTGTAGGGAAGGAGGGGGATACCGATTGCCGCATCTTCTACGGATAAAAACACCTGCCCCCCTTTCCAGTTAAAATGGTGTGGAAAGGGCTCGCTGGCTTGAAAATCTGAGGGGGGGAGGTGCATTTCCTGCATCTTGTCAAGCAAATCCACCACCCCCCGCTCCCATTTTTAGGCGCGCTCGGCATCCACTAGTTTTGCAGGTTTTGGCTTGGTTGCTTTCAACAATGAAATCTGGTTTTGGGAGGAAATCCAGAGGCTTGGCGAGACGAGCGGCGTACACTGGCATCCTGCCGTCCAAATGCCAACGAATGAAGATCGAGGTCGTACAGGAGAACATGGTGTGAGGGAGTGGTCGTCTCCCAGTCGGCCCACAGCCCAACCCACGGGTGAGAGCAAAGGGCAAGGACAGAACAAAAGAAAAGAAGGGTGAGCCAAGGATGCACGCCTTTGCTGGCGGGAGGTCGGTTCTTGCCGCTCTCTGCAGACCAACTTCACAGTGCAGTTTTGCGACGCAAGCGATTGGTGTTCACTGGAGTGGCTGGGATTATCTGACATGGAATGGCTCGATGTTCGGCCATTCTATTCATATGGAAACGCTCGCCAAGGTCGACTTTGCCTGAGTGATGGTGATGCCTTTGCGTCAAGAGCGTTGTGTACTTACAGCCCGTCAACGTGCCTAACTATTTTTTGTACGGCTGACCCGGGCGTGCGCGCTTTGGCCCAGTTGATCTTCTGATTCGGGCCCGGGCGGCTGAACGGAACCGCTTGTGCGTTCTGACACGCGTTTCTGCTCGCTGGAGTTTATCACCCAGAACGGTCGGGGTGCAGCCATAGGGGTGTCGCTGACGACTGCGGGCGTTAAGACCCGAAAGGCTTTTGAGCCCTCAAAATAACACATCAATTGGGAGCGCTAGTCGGACGGGCTGATGATTCTTTGCTTCGGCCGCTCGGATATAAGCGTGGCCCGCGGCAAACTGCGGTGCAAGAGGGGAAGAGGTAGAAGCGCGCTTCTGTCGCTACAGGGTTTGGCAACATCCAACGACCCCAATCCTTAGCCCTGTCAAACATAAAGCTTGAAACCCATCACTCTAAACTTGTAGAACTAGAGCCAAACAACTTTAAAGCTGAAACGAAAACATACCCAACAAAACCCAACCGACCTACCTAAGCAACCAACCCGTGAAACGCGCCAGAGGCATTTGTCCGACAAATCATTTGAAAAGCAGACCCTGTTTTCCAAGCCTTTCTGGCCCTCCATCCAATTGATTTTGCGAGTTTCGGGCTTTCGCAGGTGGGAAATATGGAGAGTCTTGGCTTGGCCGGATCCAAGGCCCGAACTCCGGCCGAGAAGCTAGGCGCGCGTGGGGTTAAGAAAAAACGCCTGGAAGGCTAACTTTGGAGGGAGGCTGCCCTCCCAAGGATGTGCGCAGGCCCCCCTTTGCAAGAGGGCAGCTGCATTTTTCGCGTTGGGGTGGGCGTAGGTGCCAATCCTAGCGCTTAATGTGCTTCATGGCACATACTTGGCCCCTAAAAGTCACTCACCCCTGGTGTGGGCTTGGGCAGCTTGAAGCCCTTTGCCATGCCGTCGTGCCCCTTCGACATGTCAGCCTCAAGACGCCTCGAATTCACGGGGCCGGACGCTAATGAATACGCAGGGGCAGTTGACTTGCAGACACCTATTCCCTGTTGGCACAGGCAGTTGACTTGTCAGTTTTTCGTTGGCTTTACAATCTCAAGGTCCTATGTTTCAGCATGTCACGGCTGTTAAGCGCCTTCTGATTTGCCGTGTCAAACGAACAATCTTTCAGGGGCAGAGCTTCCCAAGCCGGGGAACAATCATGGACCCGCTGTGGGCGGCGCCGGTGCTGGGCGCGGTGTGCGGTTTGGCGACAATCGGCGTGGGTTATTTTCCTCACAGCTTCTAATCAGTACCTGCCGCTTGGCACCGCCACGCCACCCATCCTGTGGGCAGTTTTCTCGCAGCCAGCGCAGCATCTAGTAGAGGCAGAAATTGTCAGCTGGCCAACTGAAAACCTGAGCAAAGCAAACCTGCAGGTTCCTCAGTGTCTAACTTACTCAGACCTCCACACATGGAAGGGCGCCGACTGGAAGCCATCAGTTTGTGTTTTGGGAATCCGGCAGCCGCTGTCGCTGTCACCTCCATTTCTGTTGCTGAACGGGGGTCCAGCTTGTGTGTGCCCTTGCGCTGAGTTGCTTGCCGTCAGGTCGCCCTTTCGTTGGCTTGGATTGGATTGGACGAGTTAAACCTCCCATCGCCGTTGCGCAATGTCCGGCGCAAGTATCTGTCACATTTCCTTGACCTTCATTGACAAATGAGGACTTCAGCTTGCTTCAGCATGTAGGCCCCCCGGGGCAGCCGGAGCCGGGAGAGCAGACCGAAATGCATCCCAGCGGATCACGTCCGGATGCGGTGCGCTTGTCAGCGTCTTCCTTTGAATCTGATCGGAAGGCGACGCGGAAGCGTTTCTCTTCTTCTTGGCAAATGGTGCGTGAAAGGTGCTCCATGTTGCTTGCCAGGACATTGTGGCCATGTGGGGACTGGCTTGCGGGGTGACGTGTCTGGTGCTGTCGAACATGTCACAGTTGCTTAGGGCCCGAGAATGGGGGAGGGGGACGTTAATTTGCATTTTCGCCCCCCCAAAGAAGGGGCAAGCAGCGCCGGCGCGGAGCTGCAGGCTCCACAGCTTGCGTTGTCCCAGCGCAACGTTCTTTCGATCAAGCGGCCCCTCAGAAGCATCCGCGCAGCGCAAGAGACGGCCTCGGCAGAGACCTTGGTTCCGACCGGCCGTGACTTGAGAGGGCATGATCGGTCAAAAGAAGGCTTGCCTGTTTGACCGGCACGCGCTGCCTGAACATGTGCTTTTGCTTGAGCAGCAGTACCCTGTCGCTGTCTGTCTGCTTCTGCCTGGCTGCCTGCCTGCCTGCCTGCCTGCCTGCCTGCCTGCTATTTCCCTCTGTCTGTCTTCGTTTTTGTCTCACCCTTCCCCTCCTCCATTTGTTCTTTAGTTGACTATAGTGTCATGCTCTTGTACCACTCACACCGCAGGTTGGAGCCAAGGGCGATCTGGGCCGAGCGTGGGGCCTGGGCTGCGTGGCGCACGCCACGTGGCGCCATTTTGCCACGCGCAGTTCTTAATAGGGGCAGGTCTGTTGGTGAACTGCAGCGGCTACTTAACATGGAGCCCACAATTGCCTCTTAAGCCTTAAAGGGATAGTTTTGCGGGGCCTGGGGCAGCACTGGGCCTTTGTTGCTCAAACACTGGAGCTGCGTACACTTCGGGGAAGATGACTCAACCAGCCGTGCCAGGCCTGGCGCTCCTGTCCAGAAGGACGCGGCAGCATGCGGCTGCACTATCGATCTAGTTGTTTTTCTGCAGAATTTGAAGTTCTGAAAAAACTCCTTCAGCTAGGCTGGTTGCCTTATAGCTTCCCCTTGAAACCTTTCAAAGGCACGCCTGTTTAGGAACCGGCCGCATTCTTTTGCGAAGGTTCTTGGAGTCTTTGGCTTCCTGCTTTCCAGCGGGTTGTACATGACAGGACTTAGTGGCATTGACCCCTCAACCCTACAAGGCGAGCCAACTTGCCTAGACCTTTTAGGGCGGGAACGATTGCGGAGTAGGCCACTTCCTGCCCCCCATAGTTTGTCCAATAGAAAGGGGGTTGCCGAACCTGTATTTTCTGGGGTTGGAGGCCACGCCACTTGGATGTTTGGCGGTTTTGCTCAGCACAACGCAGACTTGGTGATCTTTCTATCCTTGTTCCACAGCTACAGATGTATGCTGCAGTTCTTGCCAGGCGCACTTCGTGCGCTTGGCGAACATAGCGCGAACTTGCTATCTTAGACGGCGGACTTGGTAAGTGCACGCTGTTTTTTTTGCGCGAGTGCCACACTTGGCGCACTTGCTAAGTACGCCTGGACCAACGGAGTAAGTTCGCCCCAGAGAAGTTATATACTATGTGCGCCCAGGCAGGGCTAGCTATCTCTGCCAACTGTAACCTCGCCAAGCTCCCCGTCGAACCTGGCTATGTTCACCTATACGTCTTCCGTTAACTGGCCACGCGCGTGGCAAACTTACTATCCACATAGCATAGCGGTGGCTACATAGTAAGTGCTGCCGTCTTAGTTGGCGAAGTTGTGCCTGTGAAAAGTTGAGCTTGCAGGCCATCAGACCTCGTGCCACATCCGGCGCTGTCTGGCCCAAGGGGATCCCAGAGCCTTAGATTTCTTTGCACGGGTGAGCCGCCACGATGGAAAAGCGCTGCACGCGTTGAGCAAGCGTGTCTGCGAGTTGGCAGAGCCTGCCGCAACCCCATGTGGTCGGGTGAGGACGACGACCTCCTCCCAGATCTCTTCGAGCACGAAGAGCCTTGGAGGCGAGATGCCGGCCATGAGGCCAGAGCCTCGCCCGAGGAGGCGGGGATCCAGGGCACGAGCGCCTTCAACCTCGCCGCTGGTGACACCTGGCAGTGCTGGAGCTGCGACTCTGACGAGTGCTACGTCATCGAGGGCATCTACCACTGCCGAGAGTGTCAGAGCACCGGCTTCTACAAAGTGACCCACAGAGACCCTCAATGGAGTCTGGGTATATGTGCCGCGCGCCGCGCCCGATACACCGAGCCAGACCCGACCTGCAGACGGACTTCCCAATCATCATGCTGGAGCACGACCTGAGCGACCCCCTACGGGCTGGTCCGCCTCGCAACCCACCTGGAGGCTCCTGGTTCGGAGAGACTGCAGACTCTGAGGTGCCCTCTGTCGACCCAGTCATCGACCCAGATAGCCCGGCGAGCAGTCGCACCCACCGAAGACGGTCGAGGTAAGGCGCCGCGACGGAAGACAAGGATGACAAGCACCTCAAGGCCATCCACGAGCTCGCAGAGGCCATGAAGCAGAGTATCAACGGCAACACAGTCAACAAGGCCGGCCACTCCTCGAGGAGAAGGGGGTGAAGTTCCGCTCTGGAGCCTAACCCCAGCCTCCGAAGTGGCAGTACGCCTGCGAGGACGTCCGCGCCTTCTGCAAATGGAAGCGGAAGGTGGACCTGTGGCGGATTCAGGTACAGGCGCACCTTCCCAATAACAAAGCTGCGGCTGCTCTGCACGCCTCGCTGTCCGGCAAGGCGGAGGAGGAAGCAGAGCACTTGGATCTGAAGCTGGTGAACTCATCAACTGGCCTGGACTATCTCATCGGAGAGTTGGAGAAGGGGCTTCAGTCCAAAATGGGCTTCCAGAAGCGGAAGCTGCTCGCCAACTTCGAGCAGATCCTCAGGCAGAACAACGAGGGCACCTGCACCTTCGTCTAGGTACCGACGCCGAGCAGGCACCCAACTCGGTGAACACCGCGGTGAACCGCATGTACGACGATGAGAGCCGGGGCGCCCGACTTCTGGATCGTGCCCGCCTCTCTCCTGACAACCAACGTCTGGTCCTCATCGACTTGGAGGCGGTCACTTCGAGGCGGTCACAGGCCTGTCAGACCGAGGCGCAGAAAGCCCCGACATGTGGACTACCCGAGCATATGGAAGCCAGAGGATATGGAAGCTTCTGGCTATGACGAGGGCGAGCACGGCCTTGACCAGGACCACGAGTTCAAGGAGGCCATGCCGGCGGCCGAAGAGTCTCACACAGAGGATCCCAATGAGGAAGATTCTGGCGAAGACATCGGCAAGGTCGCCGAGGTCCTCACGGTCACGGCAGTGGCAACAAGACCATCGCGGAGCGCAAGAAGACATCCTCGTGCAGTGCTTGTGGTCACATTGGTCATTGGGCCGGAGATGCACAGTGCGAGAAGTCTACCAAGGTCTCTCGCCAGCCAGCCAAGGGGCAAGGCAAGAAAGGCGACGGATCGGCGCCTCCGGAAAAGGTGTACGCTGTCACCTTCGCTGACGGCACTACCAGCACGCACTGCATCCCCGAGACCTCACCTCCGGTTGGTTCATTCTTCACCTATATGACCACCTATGTTGCCCCGGACCCCAAACATGGTTTTCATCGCCAATATCGAGGACCTCAAGGGACGTTTGGTCATTGACACGGCGTGCCAGAGAACATGTTGTGGACAGAAATGGTGGGATTCCCACCTCGGCCACCTTTCCTCCTACCGCATGTCCGCGAAGTTTGTGCCGGTCACCGAGGCTTTCCAGTTCGGCAGCGGCGCACCACTGCAGGCGCGGAGTCGGGCCTATCTCCGGTGGCAACCCCTTCCTTTTGAGAACGTCCGTGCTGCCCAACGACAGCCCCTGTTTGGCATCAGGACGGTTTCTGGAAACCCTGGGATGTTCCGGATGAAACTACACGTTGACAAGCTAAATATCAGCGTGCCCATCGAAAAGGTTGTCGGCCACTACACTGTTCGTATTGCTGATTTTGATGGCGATCGCTTCGATCGCACTTGGGTTGACCTTTCAGCCCCGCATGTGCGGACAGCCCCAGATCCCGAAGTCATTTTGGCCCCGACGGCACCAACACTTTTGGAACCAGATCATGCTGCACCAGCAACCTCATGGCTTGCTGCTTCTACCTGTCCTACCTGGAGATGCGTGTGCTCAAGGGCATGTCCATGATTGTCCGGCTGGGCATGAAGCCGCGCCGTTGGACGACCGCCGGCTTTCGAGACGAGATCAGGGAGCTCCACAAGAACATGCTGAACATGCAGAAGATCGACACGGACACCATGGTGCACAAGAATCCGGAGGGCTGCACACACCCGCAGGCACGCTACCTGTCAAAGGTGCGCGAGGAGGCTCAAGTGGAACAACGACAGCAACACCTGGGATCAGGATCCTCCACCAACTGGCCACTCCTCTTCCTCGCATTCAGCGGCAAAGTCTTCCTTGCCACGCCCTCCTCATCAAATATGCGCTTGTATCCGGCATCGCCCAACCCGGATCGGGAGGCTTTCTTTGCCACGCAGAACGCCCGAGCCAAGAACGCACCGAAAGCACCGCCTCCGAAGCCTTCGAGTCGATCTTCAGCGACTCCTTTCACTCTGCCTTTGGCACCCTATCTGAGGAGGAGCTGGAGAAGAACTGGAGCCCATGGTCTCGACGAGGCCAACTCTTCGAGGACCAGTTGCCGCTGGCACGGTGAACAGCGTCACCGGCAAGATCAGGAAAGCCCGCCACGTCTACACCGCCGAGTACAAGGCCTACGCCAACAAGAACTATGAGAGCATGAAGCCGAGGACGAAGGTGGACTTGCTCGAGACATTCAGCGGCGCTGGCAACATATCAAGACGGGCGTGTGAATAAGGACTCAAGGCTGCGGCCCCGCTAGACTACAACACCGGCTGCTATCATTTACGTTGGCGACGAGGACCGCGTCGAGTTGATCTCGGAAGACGTTGCGGACGTGCACTTCCCTCGCGGGCGATTGCCACGGCCAGTTCAAGCCGGGATCTTTTTCTTGGGGACGATTCGGGAGAGCGACACTCCTAGGAAGTACCACCGGAAGAGCAACTACCGGAGGACATCATGGGTGAGAAGTTCCACAACGAGGTAACCTTCCCCCAAGCGAAGTCAGTAAAACGGAGCGCCAAGATGGCAATCTCTCGCCTTCATATCAACGTGGGCCATTCATCACTGCATTCGGCCGCGTCCCCAGGTTGGGCTATGACCTCTTGAGCGACGAACGCGCTCTGGTGTGCGGAAGCAGCATTGGAGAGGCACAGCAGCAAGCCTCGCTCATCAGGGCCGAAGCCATGAAGGCCCTGGCAGAAGTCTCTGCCTCTTCAGCCTTGCGGAGAGCACTGCTGCGCCGCACCAACATCTCCAAGCTGGACGATCTCATCCCCGGCAGCTTGGTAGCCTACTGGAGGTGGACAATCAGATCCCACAAGAAGAAGGGCGGCTACCGGATGGCGAAGTTCCTCGCCTTGGACCCGGACGGCAAATCTGTTTGGCACAGTCTGGTTCTACGACGGTGAAGCTCGCCAAGGAGCAGATCAGAACCGCACTGGGCTTCGGGCAGCGCCTACCTTCTGAAGAGGATCTACGACAACTGCGACAAGCGGAGATGAACATCAGAGAGGGCAACTACTCAGAGGAGCCTCAAGAACTACCACCAGACGACCCTCTCGAAGAAGACTTCGACAATGTGGAAGTCCCCACTGAGAACGAAGACACAGCACAACTAACTCAGGCCCCTGTTCTTCCACCACTGGATCCTCACCCACAACCATCTCAACCGCCAGACCAAGTAGAACCTCAACTTACACTACTACAGCAGCCGCAATTTTGGGACCGACCTCAAAAGAAGACAAGAGAGCCGCGCCATTCACGCCAGCGCGGCGTATCCAAACCAGACGCGGACGGCCACGGACCCCTGGCAG